GCATTACTTAATGTTTTCCTATGGACGTCCAGCATCTTCTCACTGTGATTTTCACAGTGAGAATCGCGGAAGCGCCTCTAGCGGCTGTCATTGAGACAGCCACTAGAGGCTGGATTAACCCTCAGTGTACACATGGCAGTTTCTCTGAAACTGCTATGTTTTCAGCTGCATTGTTAAAACTAGAGGGACCTGGCACCCAGACCACTTCATTGAGCTGAAGTGGTCTGGGTTCCTATAGTGGTCCTTTAACTATTTGGATGTTTGGTATCCCAGCAATAGTTAATTAATTCACGTTTAATTGGGGAACACGTTCAAAACAACACATAAGAGAACACAGACTGCATAAGTGATTCCTTAACACGTTTCTACTGCATCAGCCTTATGTTGTGGACTCTACTCTATTACCAAATGTTACTCTACCGAAATAGCTGCTGCTATGATACCAGTATCTCAACAGCATAAAGATTATCACTGAATACAGGGAGAAAAAAGAAGAAAGAGGCCGTGTCACGTGCGTGGGCTATAGGCCCAGCCGAGACAGTGGGGAGAGTGTGGAAGTGACAGGGTTAATGACACCAGACCCCTGGTTACCTGTTGCTAGTCCCAGCAACCACTCAATTAACCCCTGCAATCCCTTCTACACTATCCCCTTAGTACTACTGCCACCACCAAGACTTTTAAACCCAGGCGTCTTAGGTTACCCCACACACAGGAGAATTATAGTATCACAGTTCTACTTTTACTGATAAAACATATATAGTTAACCCTTTTGGTAACGTGTTTACCTGAGCTTTCCTCTGGAGAGTGAAGCTCATAGAGAACAGAGACACAAGCTGATTAAGTAAACATTTAATCTGACAAAAAGGATTCACAGTGCTGAGTACAAAATACATAAATAAATGACATACAGAAAACAAATTGCAAAACAGTACATAAAATAAAATAGGAGAAAACACAAGAAATTCCTTACATATATTTACCCCATATAGAATTCTTGTGGGAGTCTTAGATGGTATAGATCTCCTAGAAGTTACTGACAAAAAGAAAAATGAATAACTGACCTCCCTGGATAGTCCAACACCCTCATATAGCTAAAACTAGTTGTTTCTCAGTGGGCAGACCCCTGGGGGGGATCAGAGGGGGTTAGTCTGGCAGTCTATTGCCCACTCTATGAAATTCCTTGTGTCCAGCTCTGGTGATGGCTATCTAGATGTTTTATGGTCTAGGCCTGGTGCAAGATCAAAGACCACAATAAATGTCATCCCAAGGTTTACAAAAAAACAACTCTTAACATATATAAACACACATCAAACACCAACTCATGCCTTTGGCATGACAGGCTGGAACCAACACAATGCAAGAAAACAGCCAATTACGTGTATAAGTTGACTACTAGTAGGAAGGACAACATTGTCAGTACCTATCTCATAGGAGACTGCTTCCACATGAATAGATACTCAACAATAGGTGCAGAGAGATGTGAACCAGTCTGTCAGACATCTTGCATTGACAACAGCAGTTCCTATGGCATATACTTACCTTAGGCAGCGCAGCCCTGCTTCTGCCATGTGGCCACCTGGCATAGGAAAGGGTACTCCCCTCCCTCGAGCCGCTCAGACATCCTCCTGCTGCACGGTCCAGCTGACTCATGCGGCCGTACTCCCTTATATAGAGTGTAGGCGTGACGTCACGCTTGTTCTTAAAGTGACCACGTCATCATTGTGATCCTAATCCTAGTGATTTTCTGTGTTTGACTTTGGCTTTGTATTGACTTCGTGATTTCTGGTATCCTGACCCGGCTTTGTCTTGACTTTGTGTATTTCTGTATCCTTGACCTTGATTCTCGCTATATTAATACGTTGAGTCCGGCCACTCTTAAGCTTGGTAATACGCCTTTTGGATCCACCTTTTGTGGCTTTCCTCTTTCCTGCGTGTTGGGTTACAGCTCCCGTGTCATTAGGATAGGGCCATGGACCCTGCAGGAATGGCAGCTCCACAGAATCCTTGCAAGGCTAAATTCGAGGAAATAGACCATAGAAGGGACCAATTCGCTCAGGCCTTCCAGACCTGGTTAGCCAGAACAGCCCACCTCCCCTGAAAACCTTGCACCTATACCTCCCCAGCCTGTGCCTCTGGTGCTTGAAGCTTCTGGTCAGAACAATATGACCACAAACCTGACACCACCTCCTAGATATGGTGGCAATCCTAAGACCTGTCAAGGGTTTATAAATCAGATTGAGTTTCACTGAAAGGTCCAAGGTTGGTTTCTATATGCACTTATTAACCGACAAGGCCTTGGAATAGGCTAATCATTTATGGGAAACAAAGATCTAGTTTATGACTATAGGAGTGGAGACATCTCCTAGAAGGTTCGAAAGATTCCATCATGGTGCTAACAGATCATAAGAACCTTCTGTACCTCAGAGAGACTAAACGGGTCAATTCCAGGCAGACGAGATGGTCTCACTTTCTGTCCAGATTTAATTTTTTTAATTACTTATAGACCTGGACCACGCAATACCAAAGCCGATGCTTTGTCCAGGCAGTTCGATGTGAGTGAAGAGGAGAGACCAGAGGAGTGTTACATCATTCCTCCGGAAAGAATCATAGCTACAACTGTCACAAACTACTTTAAGAGTGTGCTTGACCTAGTTGTGGTGGTGAAAAGGTTAAAGTTCACTATTCACTATTTGTCTTCACTAGACTGGAAATAATGATAAAATACCACTTAACACCACCCACACTTAACCATAATAATATAAATATTACTATTTTAATGCTGCCACCACCAAGACAATTTATAAATGGGGTGCCTTGGTCCCCAAAGTAACTTAATAATATAAACCCACCAAATACAACTAAGCCCAAAATTTAAGCAGTTGCAAAACACTAAATTAATTAGTCTCTTCATGTAACGTGATTATTTACTAGACAAAGGCAGAACTTAATAAAGGAATAATTATTATGAGTAAAAAATAGTCACAGTGCATACAAAAAATAGATGATAAATTATCTACACCAACAACAGATAAAATACAAAAAGGATAAAATTACAGAAGTCCTAATCACTTACTCAGGTTTTCCAAGTAAAACTTCTGCCCAGGGGGCCTCTGGCAGGGAACATGGTGACTCACTCAAAATTAGATTTTGGCCCCAAGCAAGTACAATGCACATCTCAGTATCATTGGATATATACCCTGTGGATTACCAAGCCTGGCCCAAAAGGTGGAGATAAGGCATACCTATAGAGACAATAAGTGACCCTTGTGTTCCAGGTAGGATAAATTGCGAATCAGCCGTAACTTACCCAGCTCCTTCTTGGGCACCACCCCCAACGGGGAGGCCCGTAAGTGAGGGACCCGCCATTCGCCCAAGTGACAGCTTCTTACTAAGCTTGTCAGCTACCACCTCAGGGTGATCCCTGACCGACTTGAGATTCTGACATACCCCAGGAGAATCCAGTACCAGGTGCGTAATCCAAAACCCATCCCGGAAACCTCCAAGGAGCCCTGTTGATCACAACCCACAGATGGGCAAACTGCCAGCCGCTGGCGAAACTGTTAATCATAATGCCACCAGCTTAGTCCCCTATACATCCGACATGCCGTCAGGATGGTATCCTGGTAACAAAACAGGGCTGAGCATTTGTCAGGCACTTTCTCCCCGATAACACTGGCCAGGATCGAGAATGCCCTGATCCAATTCCCAAATGTTTTTGGAATCTTCTGATACTTAAACTTGTCCTTGGACTCCTTCTCAGGAGGGGTCAAGTCCATTGAGCGGCCGGTGCTACCTCCTCACTCGGCAAACCTGCCGCAGGCAAGGGAGAGTTAGGGACCTCTGGGACAGAAGCCACTGACGTCTCACCAAGAACGGGCACCCCAGACCCCCAGCTGAAGCAGGAGTGTCCCACCCCGCCCTAACCTGCGCGTTCAAAGAAGGGACCACTGAATTCTGTTCCCAAGTATCCAAAAGGCCCCTCAAGCACCCCAAAATTGAACTCCAGTCCCCAGAACCGCTCTGACTACCCACACACCCTGCCTGATCCTCCACCAATGCAGAACCGGACTCACTGGAAGACGCAGGAGTTGATTGGAGTAGCGGAGCCATAACCACTGGAGGTCTGGATCTGCCACTTCAAAAACCCTCAGCGGCCGTAGAAAGGGATTCAGCCTGCAACAGAGCACCATCAGTCTGCGTAGCCACGAACCAGCCGGCCTGGGAAGAAAGACTGCGGCTTGAGAAGGGGAAGAAAAAGACCACCGCGGACTGCCCCACTGCCAGAGTAGTGACAGAAGCCCACAAGGGAAGTTAAGCGAACCTCGCGGCCGCAGACCAACGGATCCGCAAGGTCAGGGACAAAACGTTCCGGTGGCCGAGCTCGCCTCCGGGAACCTCGGCTACCATCGGGAGTGGAGGTAGCAACAACCACGGAGGCCTGAAGACGAGCCAACTGAGAGTGCAGGTTCAGACCTCCATCTTGTAAGGTCTCACCCCTGAGGGTACAGAGGACAGCTTTCGATATCCATACCCTGGCCACAAACAGCACTTGGACATCAGATATATTGAGCGCAACAACCAGCAATTATCAGGCTGTTCCTAACTGATAATTAAGATGGCTGCCTTACTGTAAGATGGCAACCTATTTATACTAGCCCACCCATCTACCCAAACTACTCCAGCCACATCCCAAACTAATTTACCACATTCCTCTGTATACACTCCCCTCACATGTCCCTGTTCCTGCCTAGGCCCTGCCTGGCTCCTCAGGGTCTTGTGAGTGCAATCTATAGCGAAGTGTATTACTTCTGTACTTTACTGTGTTACACTATGTTTTTATTTTTTTCTAGAATTACCAGCTGTATCCCATTAGTATTTTGTATGTTCCCCCATTCTCCCCACACTGTGGGCCGGGTGAGTTCTTCCTGGCCTCCACTGGACTTGTGAAACTGCAGACCTGCATAACCGGGCGACTCAGCTCACAGACCGCGCTTTACATAATGGCTGCCCCACGTGTTCCTGATACACGAGGCCCAGTGTTGAATCAAGCTGACACATGGGTCCTGCAGTCTCAAACCCTGACATACCTGGACGCTGTCCTGGAGCGACTCTGTCCAAAACAGGATGTACACGTGGCATTAGCTGTTACAAACACCATGTCCACAACTAACAGTCTGCAGTATGCTCCAAGCGGACTTGCACCCACAGCTCCTGCTACTTCCACCTCATACCCACCTCCACTAAAGGCAATTCGGGTCCTAGCCCCAACAAGCCACCCATGTCTGCAGGAGTGTGTGGGACAGGCCCGTAGGCACCATTGTACAAGGCGCATTAAGGCACCTACCTGACTGTCTACCCAATAATTATGGCCTACTGCAGAGGTGCGGATCCTCAGTCATGCCATACCTGCGGGCCCATGGTTCCAGCAGAATAATAATAATGCAGTATCTCGTTATAATCGTTTACTTTTTATGATGAATCCCTCTATATTCATGTCTATGTTACCTACTTGTACATATGTTATGATTTAAACCTTTCCTAAGACATGCCTGTTTCCCTCATGCTATATATACAAAAAAATGGTGCTGTAAACCTTGACATACAATGTTCCCTCAACGTGTTAACCTTGACTATGTGGAAATGTTGTTACTTAAGTGATGTTCTTCACAAGCACCACAAAAATAAAGAATGACAAAAAAAAGAAAAAAAGAATAGGAGTAAAAAAAAATTACAAAAAATTGTGCAAGCATAAAACAAACAAACAGCATTATATTACGTATTTAATATGTGCAAATGCTTGTAGCATTACCACCAGGAAGGGTTAAAGATCAGGCCACAGATAGCACAACTATGAAGGGTAAATCGGGGAATAGAAAAAAATAAAACAGATGGAGCGAGATTGGAAGCTTGAACTACAGAGGGAAAGAGATTAAATAAATACATGAGTAGGAGAAGAGTAAATTCGTTCAGCTCCCCTGCAGTAAATTGCAAGGATTTGGAAGCTGAGACTTTTATCTCTCCAGGTTAATTGCTGAGCTAAAGTCTGCAGCTCACTCTTATGCATCAGTCTTCTTCACACAGAAGCTAAAGTTTCTATTCCCCTCTCCAGACTGGAATGTGACAGACAGTACAAATAATTCTTCTAAGAGGTCTCTAGCCCTTTACCTTGTGAGATTATGGGTGAGGGCCAATACAATATAGAGCAGGGACATTCAAACATTCAAATAGCACATCTCCAGCTGTTAAACTTCATCTCTCATGATACTTTGCAAGCCAAAAACAAAGCACATTGCTGGAACAGATTCATGGGAGTTGTATGTATTTATTGTATTTTCATTCTAATGGGGACATTAGTTAACACCCCAAGCAGCTCCACGTACAGCACCTCTACTGGGGAAAACCTGAAGAGCCGTGGCAGGCATAAGCTCTCCTGTTGTCTGGAGGGCCTCCAAATCACATCGCAGTTCCTTTCTTATTTAACTAAAAAGAGATTAGTTTCATATGTTTACTTATTTTTTACTTTTTCCTTTTATTTAAATATGCACTAAGGCTAACTAGAAGAGCAATCTACTCACAGGCTGCTACACTGCTAATTGTGCCCCACTACACACTACAGTAAATCCATAGCACACAATTCAAGATATTAAGAGCTACCACACTACGTTACGGCACTCACCTGATAGTCACACACTAGGGAGACACCTATATATGTAATATTATGTCTAAACCTACCCTTTAAAAATAAAAAAAACATTTCACATGCTCTTATATTGATGTTACTGACACTTTTTTAGTAAGCGCATATTTCCTCAACCTGAATGCTGTCTGTCAATAAATGTCAAGTGGAATTAAAAAAATAAAGAATAAAAAAAATAAAAAATAAACTAGTATTTTTCATTATTTAAAACATTATGTGAGTATCCCCACACTGCATACAAATAGGTAAATATCCGTTTACAGTGTATCTCCTGGCTTAGCCTTGCTCCGTGAGGGCAGATATAAAAAAAAAAAAATCCAGAAATCATGCATTTAATAAACAGTTAGTGGTTGTTCGTGAATCCTTGCATAATGTGAAAGCATCTGGCACTTCAAAAATACAGTCTGGAATTAGTGCTGGATTATTGGCTCCATGGTCCTTAAATTGAAGATGATGATGGGCCCAATTATGGAACTACAGTCTTTCAAACTTTCTTAGCAGCATAATTTGCAATTATTAAGTTACCTAAAAATTTGCAGAACAGCTCTGCCCCTGGCCACACCTCACCCTCACAATTAAAGTATTTTTTTTTTGTGTGGGGGTTGTTAAAAGTGATACAAATGAAACGTTGAGGTTTTATTAAACATTAAAAAAAAAAATAATAACATGACTGAATTTTGAAAATTCCCTGATACAAAATGGAGATTTCAGCTCAAAATATTGATCGTAAAGTAAGTGTTTAGAAAACCTATCATTTTAATTAACTTCTCAGTATCTAACGGCAATTCTCTGGTTCTCATTTGTGATATTTTACAGAAGTAATTTAACATACTGAAGTTTAGAGAATCACAATGTAGTTGTTGTCACTTGTTTTGGAATATATTGAGGTAAATTAGGCTATTCAATAAACCAAACAAACTAGTCATACTGTGATTCAGTGCATTAGCAGTAACTGTGATACTAGACAACTTCAGTGACACCACACCATGAATACTATTGTTACTAGAAGATAAAACATATGGTGATTAACATACCTGTCCAGAGAGTTATGTGCTAGAGACAATGACAATAATAAGGATAGGAGCATGAAGAAATGTACAGGCACACACATATATTACTAACACAAATAAAATAAATATATGAGACTGCTACAAATAAAAAGTATAGAGGCACAGCAACAAAGTACATATATTTACACAGACCTAGAAAAGACAGATATAAACTTGTACAAAAATTGTAACACACACACACATACTAATCATTGGAACTTATACCACTACTCCCATCTTACCTGAATTGGCTTTTGGAGGGTGTGTTAACCAGCTGACTAGGGGAGGATACAATCCCCTCCTTCAGTTTGACTTGCTCTCTCTCTCTCTCTCTTCCTGCAGTTTGGGGAGAGGTAACATGGGAGGGGATTCGAGTCCACACAGGCTCCCTGCTACAATGTTCAAACATAAAATTACAGGAAAAGCTCTACTGATAAATAGGTAAAAAGTGTGTGGTTTATAAGGTACAGGGTGCTCTTAAAGGTAGAGAATCTGTTCCCATACCAGATATATACATGTAATAACAAAATAAGAAATGATTTCAAGCACACCACGGTTTTGCACATAAAAAGAGTATTTATTCATGCATTGAAAATACAGCAAGACATCATTATAGCAGAGAGAAAGTGCATAGTATAGTGCTAAACCAGTATATAGTACCAAAGCCACAATGTAAGTAAAGCGCTAAATGAAAAAACCCATTAAAAAAAAGGTATACTGACCAAGAGCAGGAGAAATGAAACCCCAATGTTTCGGCTGTGAAGCCTTCCTCTGGGGGATCTCTCCCTGCTACAATGTAACAGAGCACTGACAGAGGACTGATTACACTGCTACACAATCTGTAGTCAAAAAGCAGACCTCCCAACATTTCGACTTTTAGTGGGACGGCCGCTATTTTTGGGACCTGCCCGCGTTCGCGATTTAGTTCCCGGATATCCCACATCCAGGGCCGGCGCTACCTGTTAGGGGGACTAGGCAGCCGCCTAGGGCGCCCCTTGGGAAGGGGCACCGCCAGGAGCGCCGGCCCCCCATGCTGCAGCCGCCCGAGCGCACTGTAGAGAGCCTCAGACGGCTGCAGCTTTGCCCGGGCGGTGCGTCCATGAGGGCGGACCGCCCCGCCCGGGCGCAGCCTGAGGAGAGGGGCTGACA